TTGGCTCTCACGCTCCATAAATGCACTCCATGGCGATGAGGCCAGCATGAGATTGATGGTGTACGACAGGAACCGCCCTGCCCGTGTCCAACCTCTATTATCTTGAGACGCCAAGTCTGCTGCCAAGACACTGGGAACCCAATCTCGGGACCCCAGTACATCAGGAGCTAGACAAGTTAACTAAGATCCAAGAAACCGCACCATAGGGAGATAAAACCCTTTGCAACTCTGGGGCTGGAACCATTCCACCGAGAATCATTCTAGGCGGGCACAAAGGGCTTTCTGGTTTAAGGGTCATAAGCCTTAGTGTAGGTGTGTAGGGAAGCCTTCTTCATGGCGGTCTTCATTGGCAAGGCCATGGCTCGAAACTAGCGTCTGCTAGAGCTGCAGCGCGGGCGTCTGCGTGATCACAAGGCGAGCTTGGGCCGCAATCGCCGCGCGTCAGGTGCTGATGCGCATGCAGCCTTTCTTAGCTCGCCGATGCTTCGAGGATTCTCGGCCAAGTTCCCTTCCGCCCTGCCTAACAAGCTGCGGGCCCTAATCCCTGCCCCTGGCAGGGGAAGGGACCTAAACCCGGCAACCCTGAACCCCAACCCCCCCGCAAGCCCCTAAGCCCCAAACCCTAAACCCCACCACCACCCCAAACCGCGAAGCCTACCGCCCTAAACCCCCCCCTAAACCCTGAAGGAGGAGCCCCTGAGCCCATGCCTCGGCGCTTCCTCTCGGCCCCGTCTCCTGCGCCGGGCCTGCGCTGGCAGGCCCAGGCTTGAAGGATAGGGTTTTGGAGGGGTTTTTCGGTGGGTTTTAGAGGGGTTTTTCGGGCAGTTTTAGAGGGGTTTTTTTTGGGGGGGGGGTTTTAGAGGGGTTTTTCGGGGGTTTTTTGCGGTTTTAGGGGTTTTAGGGCGGTTTTAGGGATGTGTTAGGGTTTTAGGGGGGTTTGGGAGGGGGGCTTTTGGTTTTGTTGCCTCCCGAGCCCGTCCAGGGGGGTTCCAAATATTTTGGGGATTTCGCTTCAATTTTGGGTTCCTGGAAGCCTTCGGGGTCTTCGAGATTCCAGGATGTGGGCCTCCAAGGTTCTACGAGATCAGGGCTTGAAACGAACTAGTTTTGCGGGCTTGGGGTCTGGGGCTGTGGGGGTTGGGCTTAACTCTAAACCACCTAAACCCCCAAAAGGGAACTTGCAAGTGAACAAGGAGAAGCGCTTGCATTGACAACACGATGTGGTACCTTGAAAGCGTTGCAGCTGCAGGCAAAGCCCTTCGTGACGGCCGTTGCTGAGCTTTCTTTAATAACGAAGGTCACTCTAAACAGAGCCCAACAAGGACCCGTGAACAAGCTGTCAACACCGCGGTTCTCGGCACTGAGACCAACCTAAAGTGACCGCAGAGCGAAAGAGATGAACAGGAAATCCACCACCTGTGCCACAAGCCTTGACCAGAAACCGCATGAAAAGATTAAGAAACATGAAGCAAGCAGGGCTCTCGGAGCACGAATTACATCAGGGTGGCGGGGTCGTTCTACAGGTCCTATTGCGTGAGGAGAGAGCATGGAACTACCTCTGTGGCGCTGCGACACCCATCAAATCAAGTCTTTTCTTCACAAGCCCCCAAGCCCAACCCCCCGACTTTTTATAAACCCCCAAACCCCGAAACCCAACAAACAAACAGCGCCTTCCAGAGGGCCGAACGCCTTCCTCGCCACCTTGCCAGCCCATGCCTGGAACGGCGCCTGCAGTCACTCAGCTGTAAGGCTTCCATTTGGCCCATTCCAGAAAATCAGTCTTTTAAAATGGGGTTTGGGGCTTGGGGCTTGGGGCTTGGGGCTTGGGGTTTGGGAGCTTGGGGCTTGGGGTTTGGGAGTTTGGGGCTTGGGGTTTGGGAGTTTGGGGCTTGGGGTTTGGGGCTTGGGGTTTGGGGTTTGGGGTTTAGGGTGTCAGGGCTCGGGCTTGAGGAGTGGAATCTGGGATCTTGGCTGCAGGCGGGGGTCACGACGGGGAGCATGCTGCGAGGAAAAGCCTGCACTGCAGCAAACTCGTACGTTAGACTGTTAGGCACAGCAACATAAACGCAACGTCCCAGCTAAGCACCATTTCTCACTGCCTGCACCGAACAATGCATCGCAAGGACATCATGGGCCTCTGCGATTTTTCAAAGGCAGAGGCACCTGTACATCACCCTGTCGGCTGAGGTTCACGGGTTGCCTGCTCCATGAACGACCACGAAAGCAGGCCTGCCCCCTTGGAAGCCTCACGCCGCATAAATCGCCTTGGCCTTGGCATAGAGCGCCTTCCCCTGAGCGCTCTTGCCGCCGATCACACAAAAGCCCTTGATGCCCAGCTCCTTTCTGGCCGTCGCGACTGCGCTGAGCCAGCCCTGCACGAACTTCTGGATTGACTTCCCCTTGGCGTGCATCTTCTTGCTGACGACCTTGCCGCGCTTGTTCTTCATCAGGTTGGCCTTCTGCAGACCACCCGTAGTCTTCTCCTGATCGGGCGAGGCGAGGCTGAACTGGAGGTTTTTGCCCGGGCCTAAACCGGTAGCTTCTATCACATGCGATGAGGTTCTGATTTTTCTTCTGCAAGTTGCTGTGCTAGAAGACGAGACATCACGAATGCTGCATGTGCTGCGACCCGTGTCTGCATCAGAACCGTGAGCTCTCAGCCATCCCCGCCTTCGCGCCATTGAAGACTCGAGACTTCGCAAGCCTGCCCGTAGCGATCTTCGACACTGCCTTCTTCTTCATTGCCTGATGAAGACTTGCTGGATGCACAGGGTACTCGCTGTTGCTTAAGGCTGATGAAGGAACTAGCGCCCCCTAATACCGGAATGAGGGTTAAGCCTTCCAGTCCGGGCATTTCCAGCAGGACTGCATGAGCCCCAAGCTCCCTACATTGGCTTTTTTTCTTTCCCTGTAACTTGATGCTTATGGGGCTTAGTCGAGATCTCAAAGGCGCATCTTGTGATTCTTTTTCGGGCATAAGGCCGCGAACCCTCCCACAACCCCCAAGCCCCTCCTTCATGGGCTTCTTCATGGCCTTGGCCTTCATGGCGCTTGCCTTCATGGCCTCGCAGACTCGGGGCTCTCAGCGGCCGAAGATTTTGGGACCCGAAAGCCAGCCTACGATGCCCTATGGCTCGGTACTCTTGCGCGGCCGTGCTCCACAAGCCCATGCAGGAGATCTGGAAAGGAATCCAAGGTCAGTCAACCACAGAAAAAAGCCGAAGTTTCTGAGGCAAGAAGCCTGTTTCCAAGCCATTCAGAACCCGACATAAGAATCGTACCATCAAGAAGCCACACGAGTTCCTTCCCTTGGCTCTCACGCTCCATAAATGCACTCCATGGCGATGAGGCCATCATGAGATTGATGGTGTACGACAGGAACCGCTCTGCCCGTGTCCAACCTCTATTATCTTGAGACGCCAAGTCTGCTGCCAAGACACTGGGAACCCAATCTCGGGACCCCAGTACATCAGGAGCTAGACAAGCAAACTAAGATCCAAGAAACCGCACCATAGGGAGATAAAACCCTTTGCAACTCTGGGGCTGGAACCTTCCACCGAGAATCATTCTAGGCGGGCACAAAGGGCTTTCTGGATTAAGGGTCATAAGCCTTAGTGTAGGTGTGTAGGGAAGCCTTCTTCATGGCGGTCTTCATTGGCAAGGCCATGGCTCGAAACTAGCGTCTGCTAGAGCTGCAGCGCGCGGGCGTCTGCGTGATCACAAGGCGAGCTTGGGCCGCAATCGCCGCGCGTCAGATGCTGAAGCGCATGCAGCCTTTCTTAGCTCGCCGATGCTTCGAGGATTCTCGGCCAAGTTCCCTTCCCCCCTGCCTAACAAGCTGCGGGCCCTAATCCCTGGCAGGGGAAGGGACCTAAACCCTGCCACGCTGAACCCTGGGGCTGTGGGGGTTGGGCTTAACTCTAAACCACCTAAACCCCCAAAAGGGAACTTGCAAAACAAGGAGAAGCGCTTGCATTGACAACACGATGTGGTACCTTGAAAGCGTTGCAGCTGCAGGCAAAGCCCTTCGTGACGGCCGTTGCTGAGCTTTCTTTAATAACGAAGGTCACTCTAAACAGAGCCCAACAAGGACCCGTGAACAAGCTGTCAACACCGCGGTTCTCGGCACTGAGACCAACCTAAAGTGACCGCAGAGCGAAAGAGATGAACAGGAAATCCACCACCTGTGCCACAAGCCTTGACCAGAAACCGCATGAAAAGATTAAGAAACATGAAGCAAGCAGGGCTCTCGGAGCACGAATTACATCAGGGTGGCGGGGTCGTTCTACAGGTCCTATTGCGTGAGGAGAGAGCATGGAACTACCTCTGTGGCGCTGCGACACCCATCAAATCAAGTCTTTTCTTCACAAGCCCCCAAGCCCAACCCCCCGACTTTTTATAAACCCCCAAACCCCGAAACCCAACAAACAAACAGCGCCTTCCAGAGGGCCGAACGCCTTCCTCGCCACCTTGCCAGCCCATGCCTGGAGCGGCGCCTGCAGTCACTCAGCTGTAAGGCTTCCATTTGGCCCATTCCAGAAAATCAGTCTTTTAAAATGGGGTTTGGGGTTTGGGGCTTGGGGCTTGGGGTTTGGGATCTTGGGGCTTGGGGTTTGGGAGTTTGGGGCTTGGGGTTTGGGAGTTTGGGGCTTGGGGTTTGGGGCTTGGGGTTTGGGGTTTGGGGTGTCTGGGCTCGGGCTTGAGGAGTGGAATCTGGGATCTTGGCTGCAGGCGGGGGTCACGACGGGGAGCATGCTGTGAGGAAAAGCCTGCACTGCAGCAAACTCGTACGTTCGACCGTTAGGCACAGCAACATAACCGCAACGTCCCAGCTAAGCACCATTTCTCACTGCCTGCACTGAACAATGCATCGCAATGACATTCTCGGCCTCTGCGATTTTTCAAAGGCAGAGGCACCTGTACATCATCCTGTCGGCTGAGGTTCACGGGTTGCCTGCTCCATGAACGACCACGAAAGCAGGCCTGCCCCCTTGGAAGCCTCACGCCGCATAAATCGCCTTGGCCTTGGCATAGAGCGCCTTCCCCTGAGCGCTCTTGCCGCCGATCACACAAAAGCCCTTGATGCCCAGCTCCTTTCTGGCCGTCGCGACTGCGCTGAGCCAGCCCTGCACGAACTTCTGGATTGACTTCCCCTTGGCGTGCATCTTCTTGCTGACGACCTTGCCGCGCTTGTTCTTCATCAGGTTGGCCTTCTGCAGACCACCCGTAGTCTTCTCCTGATCGGGCGAGGCGAGGCTGAACTAGAGGTTTTTGCCCGGGCCTAAACCGGTACCCGGTAGCTGCTATCACATGCGATGAGGTTCTGATCGTTCCTCCGGAAGCTGCTTTGCTAGAAGACGAGACATCACGAATGCTGCATGTGCTGCGACTCGCGTCTGCATCAGAACCGTGAGCTCTCAGCCGTCCCCGCCTTCGCGCCATTGAAGACTCGAGACTTCGCAAGCCTGCCCGTAGCAATCTTCGACACTGCCTTCTTCTTCATTGCCTGATGAAGACTTGCTGGATGCACAGGGTACTCGCTGTTGCTTAAGGCTGATGAAGGAACTAGCGCCCCCTAATACCGGAATGAGGGTTAAGCCTTCCAGTCCGGGCATTTCCAGCAGGACTGCATGAGCCCCAAGCTCCCTACATTGGCTTTTTTTCTTTCCCTGTAACTTGATGCTTATGGGGCTGAACCCTCCCACAACCCCAAGCCCCTCCTTCATGGGCTTCTTCATGGCCTTGGCCTTCATGGTGCTTGCCTTCATGGCCTCGCAGATTCGGGGCTCTCAGGGGCCGAAGATTTTGGGACCCGAAAGCCAGCCTACAGCGCGGCCGTGCTCCACAAGCCCATGCAGGAGATCTGGAAAGGAATCCAAGGTCAGTCAACCACAGGACAATGCCAAAGTTTCTGCAAGAAGCCTGTTTCCAAGCCGTTAAGAGCCCAACATATACACCGTGCCATCAAGAAGCCACACGAGTCCTACCCCTTCCAGTGCGTGGACTCTTTGGCGGTTAGGCTATCATGAGATTGATGGTGTACGAAGGGACAAAGTTAAACAAGTAAACTAAGATCCAAGAAACCACACCATAGGGAGATAGAACCCTTTGCAACTCTGGGGCTGGAACCTTCCACGTTTGATTTGATAATCATTAGGACTTGAGTGCTGGCTTCCCGCTGCAAGAATCATTGTAGGCGGGCATATAAAGGGCTTGATGGTTCAAGGCTTAGGCCTTACTGTTGGGCCTTCTTCATGGCGGTCTTCATTGGCAAGGCCATTGCTCGAAAGAGGCGTCTGCTAGAGCTGAAGCGCGCGGGCGTCTGCGTGATCACAAGGCGAGCTTGGGCCGCAATCGCCGCGCGTCAGATGCTGAAGCGCATGCAGCCTTTCTTAGCTCGCTGATGCTTCGAGGATTCTCGGCCAAGTTCCCTTCCCCCCTGCCTAACAAGCTGCGGGCCCTCTTCCCTGGCAGGGGAAGGGACCTAAACCCTGCCACCCTGAACCCCAACCCCCCTGCAAGCCCAAACCCTGAAGCCTCCCTACCGCCCTCAACCCCTAGGACTACAACCCAAAGCCCATGCCTTGGCGCTTCCTCTCGGCCGCCTCCTGCGCCGGCACCGCGCTGGGACGCTAAAGGGCCCGAAGACTTTAAGGATTGGGTTTTCGAGAGTTTGTAGGGGGTTTAGGGTGTTAGATGGTTTTTGGCGGTTTTAGGGGGCTTTGGGGGTTTGGCAGGTTGGGGGGGGTTTCGGCGGGATTTTAGGGTTGCTGGGTTTTAGGGTTTTAGGGGCCTTGGAGATTCCAGGATGTGGGACTCCAAGGTTTCTACGAGATCAGGGTTCGAAATGAACTATTCTTGGGGCTTGGGGTTTGGGGTTGTGGGGGTTCCGTGTGTAGCGCCTAACTCTAAACCACCTCTAAACACCCAAGAGACCTTGCAAGTGAACAAGGAGAAGCGCATGCATTGACGGCACAAGTTGGTACCTCAAAAGCGTTACTGCGGTAGGCAAAGCCCTTCGTGACGGCTGTTGCTGAGTTTTCTTTCATAATGAAGGTCACGCAGACAGAGCCCAACAAGGACCCGTGAACAGGCTGTCAACACCGCGTTTCTCGGCACTGAGACCAACCCAAAGTGACCGCAGAGCGAAACAGATGAACAGGAAATCCACCAAACCACCTGTGCCACAAGCCTTGACAAACGACCGCATGAAAAGATTAAGAAAAATGAAGCAAGCAGGGCTCTCGGAACACGAATTACGTCCTGGTAGCGGAGTCGTTCCACAGGTGCTATTGTGTGAGGAGAAAGCATGGAACTACCTCTGTGGCGCTGGGACGCCCATCAAAATCAAGTTCCCCTTCATAAACCCTCAAGCCTAACCCCAAAAACTGTTTATACACCCCCAAACCCCGAAACCCCAGAGCCTTGTTCAGCTCGGAGAGCTTCTGTGCCATGCCATCTAGGCACTTCGGGACGACCAGCAAGTCCTGGGTCTGCTGGGGGGGGGGGGGGGCGGGGGGGGGGGGGTGGCTGGGTGGGGAGTGTTGGGAGTTCAGAGCTTGGGGTTGGGTTCCGTGCCGTTTAAGGCGAAGAGATCGGTTCTTGAAGGTCGCTCAGGGAAGGAGGCTAAGGCTTCGGGGTTGGGATTCGGGGTCCCGGGGCAAAAGCAACCCGAGTTCTACCTGAAACCTAAACCCTAAACCCTAAACCCTAAACCTCAACCCTAAACCCTAAACCCTAAACCCTAAACCCTAATAAAAACCCTATCGCTGCCCTGCGGTGCAAGTCGAACCTTTTGGACCCAGAGGTTGGATCTGCCAGCAACAAGCGGATGTGCCACCCCCCGACTGTGGACCCCTCATACTCAAAGCAGGAACTACCACAGGAATACCAGGTTTAGGGTTTAGGGTTGTTTAGGCTTTCGGGTTCAGGGCTTAGGGTTTGGTTTAGGGTTTAGCTTTGAAAGGCACGCGACCGACCGTAAGGGCTTCCGGGGGTGTGCGGCTTCTTGGGGCTTCAGGGCCAAGCACTTCGACAAGACTTGGCATCCCCTGAACGCGAACCCTCTAAACCCCTGCAACACCTAAAGCCCGAAACACAAATGTAACCCATGTAATCTCCAAAACCCAAACTCTGAATCCAAGCGGCCTTCGTGCAGAAGTCTGCGGCGCCACTGGAAATCTCTTTGGCAGTCGTCAGGTTCTGCAGGGTGAGGCTCCGGGCCCCAGGACAAGCACCAGCCATCAAGGAATATGGACAGGAGGTGCTTGCCGGCGATGTGCTCCGGGTGCATGTAGCCTAGGTGACGCGTGCTGCAGCCCTGCCAGCCCGCTGTGGACGTGGAGCCAAACACCTTGAGCGCTCAGCACAGCGGCCCAGCATGTTTTCAGCCCAGTGGTTTCAGCAGTACATTTTGCGGTTGAGGTCGGCTCCACGGAAGGAGAAGCCTCTCGCGCTGCAACAGCTGTCTGATGACTTTCTGCATGCTGGGGCAGGACTCGGCATGCCCAAGCAATGGCTGCAGACGCGCCAGCAGCACTTCGTCGGGCATCACTGATGCCGTACAGTCCCCTGGCAGAGGACTGCCTCCAAGCAGGCTGGACGTACACGAAGCTCATCGAGTCGATGAGCTTCGTGAACGTCCAGCCTGCTTGGAGGCAGTCTTCTGCCAGGGGACTGTACGTCATCTTGTCGACGATCTCCGGAGCGGGGCCGCGAGGTTCCCCGGAAGGCGCTGCGTCGCCTCATCTGGCTGATCCAACGGCCTGGCGGCGTCCAAGTCGACGAGCTTCACGTCACTCAGCTGGGGCCGTGAAGCAGATATTCGCCGGCTTCACATTCAGGTGCGCAATCAGCCGCAGGTGCAAGACTCGTGAATTTGAGCTGGTGCCGCCAGGTGTGCTTCGCAGAAGAGCGGCGCCTTTGTGCTTGGGAAGCTCTGTGGCCCTTGGTGTGCTCTTCGCAGCCCAAATTCACGAGCCTGTCAGGTGGTCCGAGCTACAGCTTCGGAAAGCCGGAAGGTGTGGCTCGGACCGCCTGGAAGGCTCGTGAATTTGGGCTGGTACCGCCCAGGCCAAGCGTGGGAGTGTGTCCTTTGCGGAAGCGGGGCGCCTTTGCGAACGACATTGCCAGGCTGCCAGACACCTTGGAAAACCGGATATTCTCTTTGAGTGAGAAAGTCCTGCATCGTCGCGGCAAATCATGTGCAAGCGCAAGAAAGCTGCCCCGCTCCTTCCAGCATGAATGGGACGGACAAAGGCCTACGGACAAACCTTCGGCGGGCTTTCTAGTCATCCACCCCATGTGCTAGAGCTACCTGACTCTTTGCTTCAGCGGTTCAAAAACTGCAAGCCCTGAGAAAACCCACCCAAATCCGTGAAGCTAAGCCTGCGCACCCGAACCTTTCAGGGTTTAGGCCTTGGGGTTCAAGGGTTTAGGGTTCGCCCCGCCGATAAACAGGCCTACAGATGAAATGGGCACATCTGAGCAGCTCTCTCAATCATGGCACCTTCTTGGGTAGCCTGGATATAGAGCTCCGTGTTCTGATGACAACTTTCAAAAGGCAAAGGCAGGCCCAAGACTGTGCCCCGAACAGTTCCTTAGCCGTCCTCTCATGCGGGACGAAGTAACAAAGCGCAAGAAGTTCTAGAAAGCATGCCCGAAGTGCCGCGCGAGAAGGCAAGAATCCACCCAGGACACGATAACTACGCAACTTGCAGGAAACCAAGAGAACCTACAAAAACATACTGGAAACAGGACTTCATGAACATGTTGAGGTGCTGTACATGGACAACGGAGTTATGTCTTATGTTGTGATAGAGGCACGGGCGTCATACAGATGCGTGATGCAGAAATCAACAAGTCCAGGAAACGTAGCGAGCCCACACCAGTAACAATGGAGGAGATTGAGGGTCGTGCCAACGACAGTAATCCTAATGATATTTGCATTTTGTTTCAGCCACAAAAGACCCCATGACCTTGGTTGTTGCATGACTTTCGGCCTGACATCACGTTCAATTTTGATGGTGTTGATTCTCGGTGTGGTTGGCTTCTGATACAACCGTGCAGACAAAAAAGTACTACAAACGGGCCTGCCTGAGCCGAGAGAAGTACAAACAGACCATGACCCCTACTTCGGGAAATCCCAAATAGTCATCTCTTCCAAAAGAGAAACACAAGCATCTCCCTTGGAAAATCCACCAGTGTCCGCAGAAAGACTTGATAACCAGAGCTAGCCAGCCCCTTACCCAAGGAGCAAGATCCGAAGGCTTGATGTCCAGGTTTATGCGATGGTACAGAAGCAGCATGCCATAGTCTGGTATCGCACAGCACAGTAAGAAGCTCTACGCTTGGAGCGTTTTGTGTGGACGAAAAGACCTCAACCCTAAACCCTAAACCCTAAACCCTAAACCTCTGGGGGGGGTGCTTCTGGAGGCACCTTTGGGAACCTGTGCTTGTTCAGTGCTCCCAAGGCCGTCAGCCCCAGGTCCAGAATGACGTTTGTTGTACAGTACTTCTTCACATTTTTTATGGGTATTGTTTTTTTTTATATTCTGGTTATGATGTTTAAGTCTTATTGTTATTACTATGATGTTTATGATTATGACTACGATGTTTACTCTTATTTATTAGTATTATGTTTTACTGCAACTACTATTATTATGATTACTATTATTTTCTTATTATTAGTATTGATTATTTTTATTATCATTACTACTATTATTATTATTAATAATATTATTATTGCTATTGTTATTATGAGTAAAAGTATTATTGCGATTACTATTACTACTTACTACTATTAATATTCCTATTTTTGTTACCTTTTCTAATTGTCATTGTTATTATGTTTTATTTTCATTGCATTGGGTTTTTTGAGTTATTCTCATTACTTGAATATGTTTTTCTTGCTGTACTCTCATACAACTATTGTGATTTTTATTCTTGTTTTTTAAGATAAACCTAGGTCCTAGACCCCAGGCACTGGCCCATCTTTTTTCACTGGCCCGCGGGTGGCTTGGAGCTGAAGGGCTTGATTGGAGCGGAAGGGCCGGCCACGAAGGAGATCCATCCTTCCGCCCAATCCTGCAAAGGGCTTTAGGGACTTTAACGGCTTCGGGCTTGGGGAAGGGGCTCTTAGCCTTTAACACATCTAGAACTTCCATGGGCCCCGCCTCGTTTGGGGCTTAGAAGGCCGGGCCTGGTTTGGAGTGCTTCCAGGGTTGTAGGGCTTGGGGGACCCTAAGCTCCGTCCTGAAGAGCCCTGGCCCGCATCAGCACGCACTTCTCGGGGGTGACCTTCACTGGCGGCCCCTTTGCCTGGAAGACCTGACACAGGCGAGACCCCCCCTAAGCCCCCGAACCCTAAACCCTAAACCCTAAACCCTAAACCCTGCGCTTTGGGAGATCCCGCCTCGCCCACCTCCAGCTGCCTCACGGTCTGGGCATCGCTTTTAGCAGAGCTGTAGAGGCCCAGCGGCCTCTCCTTACTTTGTGGCTTCCTATAGAGATACAGGGCAAGCCCATTGATCCCAAAAGGCGCCTACATTCAAAAAAAACAGAAAAAGGGCTACACACGCACTCGAGGATTCGACGAGGTAGTGGGAGCTGCTCTTCTCCAGGTACACGGTGCCCTGGTTCCCCTTGAGGGTCACCCAGCCCTCCCGACCATCCTGCACGGCGCGGAAGCGGCGCCTGGCGATGGAGGACTCCGACACCTCGATGCTCTCCTCACTCTCCTCGAGGACCTCCAGCGCCTCGCCGACGCTCACCTTCCGGATGGGCTTGCAGTTCGTGATGTCGAAGCCCTGGGTCATCGCGATCACGGCCTTGCACACATAGTACCTCGACGTAGCAGCCCTGAATGGCGCCCCCGAAACCCAAAGCCCGCAACCTGCAATTCCCGAAGTCCATTTTGGCAGCCACATGTCCGTCCGCCCCTATACACCAAGTAGTGTATATACAACTCGATGAAAAAAACCTGAAACAAAATCCCTGAAGAGAAGCCGCGAGAAGCCCTGATATAATCCGGTTATGAGCCCTCAGCGAGCCTGCGGACCCCAAGAGCCCTAAAACCCTAAGCCTTTCATGGGTCCGGAGCCCGAACCTACCTAACGCGTTGAGGGTTTAGGGTCCTAGCCCACAGGCAACTCGCTCCGCGGCACTTGTCGCTGGGTGCTGGTGAGTCGGCGAGCTCCTGGAAGCAGGAGAACTTCCGGTGCTGAGGCCCTAGGAGGGCAGAAGGAGCTCCTAAACCCCTCGCAGGGCTCTCAAGGCTCCTGCAGGCAGAGGAAGCCCTGCGTGCCATCCTTGCAGGCGGCACCGCGCAGGAAGAGCTTGGCCTCTGGCGCCACCTCTGGGGACGCAAGACTCAAACCGAGAGGCACCCTAAACCCTATAAGCTGGATTCCAAATCCCGAATCATCAAACCCTCTAAACCCCCCCCACCTCCAACAAGAAGAAAGAAAGTATACATCATGTCTGGCACTCCACCGCATCTTTGCGGCCCAGGCCCTGAACCCGAAAGGCCCTAAAGGTCCTAAACCCTCCCAGGCCCGACTTCTCCTGAGAGGCGGCCTCTCTGGGGCCCTCCAGCAGCTCCAACTTCTCCCCTGGCTCCAGGCCGCGCAGCACGCGCGATTCGGCATCCGGGGCCTGCCCGAGTCTTTAGCACCTAGAGACCGGCTTTTTGGGAGGAGAGGAGAGGAACTCCTCAACTTCTAGGCCCCCCCATCCCCCTAAGACCTTTACATCTCAAAATTGGGGGATGTTTCCCCTTATACTCACAGTCCTCAATAGGGATGATAATAATGGGGGGGGGGGGTACTATCATCCCGTTAGTGTAAGGGGAACATCCCAACCTCAAAACCCAAAACGTCAAAACCCCGAAGCCCAGCAATGAACCTGAACCCTTCAACGCCTCTCGGAGGTCGGTGGGGCCACTGGCCACAAGGAAGGGCTTCTCCCGTGGCTTCCTAGGCAGGGTTAGGCTTTAGGCTTCAGTTTCAGGACGGCTTAGGGCTTGTGGCTTTAGGTTTTAAGGGTTGCTGGAGGGTTCTTGCCATTTTGGAATGGGTGGGGTAAACAGTTTTGAGGAGTTCAGAAGGCTTCGGGTCTTGATTGATCTCCTCCAGGTGCCTTCAAGCTGGCTCCTAGCCTGGAAGCAGAGCCGTCAGGGCCTAAAACCTCCTGCACCAGCGAAAGGCCCTTAAGCCCCAAACTCCACAAGCCGCCCTGCCCACCCCCCCCCCCCAAACAAAACAGTTCCCCCCCCCTCCCCAGCAACCGAAGAATCAAATGGATGCCATGATTTTGTGCCAAGGGCTTTGTGTGCATGAAGAAGCGGAGAACAAAAAGTGCTACTGAGCATCCTCGCCCTAAGCCCAGACCAAGTCTCAGGAAGGCTGTCCCCTGGTTGCCCTTGATGGTGACCTCGGCGGGGTGTAGGGCTCAGGGCTTTGGGCCTAAGAGTAAGGTCAGGGAGGGGGGGAGAGAATGGAGAGAATGGGGAGAAGGGGGAGAAGGGCGGGAGGAGGAGAGAGGGGAGAGAGGAGAGAGGGGGAGAGGGGGAGAGAAGGGGGGAGAGGGGGAGAGTTTAGGAGCAGAGGTGCTAAGGCAGTGGGGATCCAGAAGATTCCAGAAGCATTCCATACCTTGACCCAGCTTCAGGGCCAAGCAATTCCCACCCACCCCTGCCCGTTCGGGGCTAGCCGCCCAGCCCATCTTCGCATCCTTCAGCGCACGGCATCGAACGCGTCGGACTTTCGTCTCCTCGTCCTTGAGGGGGGAAGGCAGGCAGTATAGGGGCCTTAATGATTAGAGTAGGGTTTTGGGGATTATTAATAGTATAATTATTCAAGGGACCGGACCATAAGGGAATAGTACTAGGCACGATTCCGACCCCCCTAGCAGGGCATCAGAGGGCTTAGGGTTTTGTGTTGGGATTTAGGCTTCCTTTGGGGGGTTCAGGGGTCTTCTCAAGATGCAAGTAGGCGTGACGTCCTCGTCGGGCCCCTCCAAGACCTCCACTAATTCTGATGTCCTGGGCTGTCAGTCCCTGCCAAATGCTCAGCATGAACCCAAACTCCAACTGTGTGCTGCCTGTATTGAAGTTGAATCCTCAAACCCTTAACACCCCAACTCCGCGGAGCTCATGAGGTTTGGTTCACAACGTGCAGTTCGTCAGAGTCTTAGGGCCTCTGGAGGCGCTGCTCAAAAACCAGGCGTCTGGATCTTGCGAACCGTGGAAGATGAGGAGATGGCAAAGCCCTCGGTCATGGCAACTTCCTGGATGCAGGTGGCATATTCCTGGACGACCTTGAAGAAGGACGGCCGATCCATGCTGCCCTTTCTTCGCCAGCAACCACAGTTCAAAAGGCTAGTGGCTCAAGTTTCGTAACTCCTTCCCAAAAACAACTAAGGCCAAAACTCTAAACCCTATGCCCCGGACACACATACCCAGAAAACAGTGACTCTAGTGCTCAGGAAAGCTTCTCCGCCGAACTGTCGGAAGAGCAGCGCCACCTGCTCCTGCGTCAAGTCTTCGGTAGGCAAGCCGGCGACATAAGCCTCGAAATCCTGAGTTGCTGCTAAGGCGCGAAGATGAAGTTGGCATGAGGGGGGTAGAGAAGGTACGATGTCATATGTAAATACACACCTATAGACAAACCTTCAAGTTTGCAGATCTACACAGGCCCACACTTCTTGCACACATCTACACATTTACACATACACACACATTTTCTTGTACGCAAAGAAACCCTACCCTAGCGCATCCTATTGCCCTACAACCCCTAAACCCTACCCCCAAGCCCACAGAACTCTAAAACGAAAGAGCAACCCAAGGGGCCGGAAGTGCGAGCTGATCGGCTCCCTTGGCGGCGCTGTCGAAGGCGGTGTCCCTCGCGAGGCCCTGCTTCCGGAAGGCCGTCCTCGCCACTTAGGAGTGTAGGGTTTAGGGTGTAGGGTGTAGGGTTTAGGGCTTAGGGTTTAGGGTTTAGGGCTTACGGGTAAGATAAGTTGAGGACTATGGGAGGCCTGTCAAGGTTTTCTGGGTCGAGGGTGCAGGGTTTGGGGGTGTGCTCCTCAAAGAATTCTTCGCCCGGAAGAGCGTGGTCTTCGTCACCTGCGCTCATCCCTTTTCTAGGCGCGGGGGCGCAGTCCAATATGAATAACCCTACGAGCGTCACGAGGCGTGAGTTCATCCTAAACGTAAGAAGTCCAAAACCCCAAAGCCCTCAGACCCAGAACTTCAGACCTCTAGAGACCTCTTGATGTCTTGATCTTCAGAAGTCCCAGGCCCCCAAACCAAACGACTCCAAAAAAAAGAATGCTCATGCTCACAAAAACCGAAAGCCCTCGACCACTCAGCAGGAGTCCCAGCCTGCAGGGCCCTAAACCCTAAACCCTAAACCCAATACACTTTAACCCCAAACCCTGAAGAGGAGGCAGGAGCAGGTGGTAGTATGTAGTGGGCCACGGGCAGTAGCCCCTGCCTGCGCATGGGCAATGCGCAGGGCTTCAGTGGCGTGATTGCATCTCCTTAGGCCGCCAAAAGCATCAACGGGGTTTAGGGTTTAGGGTTTAGGGTTTAGGGTTTAGGGTTTAGGGTTTAGGGTTTAGGGTTTAGGGTTTAGGGTTTAGGGTTTAGGGTTTAGGGTTTAGGGTTTAGGGTTTAGGGTTTAGGGTTTAGTGTTAGGGTTTAGGGTTTAGGGTTTAGGGTTTAGGGTTTAGGGTTTAGGGTTTAGGGTTTAGGGTTTAGGGTTTAGGGTTTAGGGTTTAGGGTTTAGGGTTTAGGGTTTAGGGTTTAGGGTTTAGGGTTTAGGGTTTAGGGTTTAGGGTTTAGGGTTTAGGGTTTAGGGTTTAGGGTTTAGGGTTTAGGGTTTAGGGTTTAGGGTTTAGGGTTTAGGGTTTAGGGTTTAGGGTTTAGGTCCTCTAGAGGCCCCCGAACAGTTAGGGTCGAGGGTGGATTGCTTAGTGTTTGAAGCCTAGGGTTTGTGAACCGTGAGCCTACGGTACAACCTGTAAGCTCACAAACAAGACCCTTGAAGAAGCCTTCTTTTGTCATCAGTTCAAGAAACAGCACTTATACCCCTTAGTCCCAAACACCTCCAACTAGGGCCTTGCGCCCAAAGCCCCAGAATCATTCCCTCTGGGTTTTGAATCCTAAGCCGAGCCCTGAACCCCGAACCCGCCCAAGACCCCTAAGACCTCGCCCCTGAAGCCCTAAGTCGCGGCGCTTCTCGGCGGCGCCGGCCCTCGACTTGAGTTTCGTGAGCTCCACTCGAGCTTGCAGCAGCAGATTTCGGCTCTGGCCTGGGACTTCTTGGAATACAGGGCTTGAGGGCGCGTTAGTTTCGCAGCGCAAGACCTAGAGCAGACCCTATAAACCCTAAAGCCCCAAAATCCCTCAGCACCGAAACTCTAAAGCCCCCAAGCCAGTGCCCAGCGCCCCACCTCGGTAGGTGTCGTGGGCTTCCAGCAGCTTGGCCACAACCTCCTTGCAGGATGGGGCTACGGAAGAGGGATCGGTGCCCAGAAGCACGGCGAATCCACCAGCCCCCTCTGCGATCATACGGACCCCATGCAGGTTACTGTTGCAACCAGCCTTCAACCCTAAAGCGAGGGGGAGCAGCAGCGCCAAGGGACCCCGCCATGCTACCTTATTCATTGTCTGCAAGAAAGGGCTCTATCCAGCGAACCCCTGGACCCATGAGCCCACAACCCCCACCCCCGCCCCCCAAAACGCCCAAAACCAGCCCGGCAAACCCTCCGGTCGGAGCCTTGGACTCGCCCAACGCCTGCAGGGCCACGTCCGCATCTTTCTTGAGGGCCTGGCAGGCAGTTTAGGGTTGAGGGCTGATTTTATAGGGCTCAGGGCTTAGGGTTTAGGGCTTGGGGCTTCGGGGTTGGGGCTTATGGCTTATGTTTTCTGAGGCATGTTAGAGGGAAAGCGGGAACCTTCGGGTTTGCAGGTCTTTGGAGCCCGAAGACCCCTTCAGGACTTAAGGTTCTCGGCACTTTAGGGTTTAGGGTTGAGGGTTTAGGGTTTAGGGATGCTTGCGGGCTCGCTACAGCCCAAAAGGCCTCCTTTTCAAATAACAAAAGTGAGGAGAGCTGATACACGGGGAGCCAAACTGTGAACAAACCCACATATAACGAAGACTGCCACTGGCAAGATGCCTGGAGTGGCGCGCCCAGCTTGCGCGCACTCAGATGTCGGAATTGGTCGCTGCCCATGTTCTCTCTGCAACATGCCCTTGTAGGCCTGTTTTCAGAACTTTCCGGAGACATTGTGATCTTCTTGCTGCCGCGAGCCAGAGCCCTAAACCCACAGCCCTCGAGCGTCAGCCCCCTAAACCCCTCAAATTGGGAATCCGAGACGCCAGAAGCCCAAAAACCTTAGAACCCCATAACCCCGTAACCCTATAACATCCTACATCCCTTTACATAGTCCGATTGCAACCCTAAACCCTAAAACCGCAAGCAGTCTGCGCCTCGAGCTCCTTGAGTCCCTTCCCGGAGAGTGATGAGGCAGACTGCTGGGCAGCCGTCGCCTCTGCTGGAGTTGGGATTCAAGCAGCTTCACGGGGGATAGGATTTAGGGCGGATTTAAGGGCTGGCGGTCCAAGTGCGCAGCCTAAGGTAGGCGCGTGGCCTCAAACCCGCCCGAACCCTTCACCCCAAAACGACCCTGTCCGGCCTTCTCCACCAGGGCCTCTGCGGCCTCCACTGCCTCGCAGCCGCGCCGCACGGAGTCTTCTGCGAAGGCCTTCCAAAAAGGGGGGTGGGGGGGGAGGGGGGCCGGTTTGGGGCTTCGGGCTTCGGGGTCCTAGACACCAAAAACGGACAAGGGTAACGTTGCCCCTGAGATGTGCCTTGCATTGGACCTCGCGGAGTTCCTGGACTTCCGCCTTGGCACGAATCAGGGCTGTTCAGGGGTTCCGGAGAGTCGGGGCTTCATATACAGGGTCTTGGGATTTCGGGACTTTGCGCTCGAGGGCGCCGCCGCCATTGGAGTGTAGGTCCAAGCACACTAAGCCGCAAGCCCCCCCGAGTCTTACTCCGCCACAGGTTCTCAACATGCCACCGCTAAGAGCAGGATTCCAGGGAGTTGAAAAGGGGCCCATTAGGTTGATTCCGGTCCTTTGTCGAAGAATAGTCTTGCAGGGCACATCTGCACCTAAGATAAGCCTCCTTGCCCACTTCTACTTGCTCCGATCGCTACGTCTCGCAACCGGAAGATGCTTTCAGATGGTTTAAAGGGTCAGCCTGGTAGCAGCCTTTACCATCTACCGGGCCAAGGGCCCACCCTGAAGCCAAAAACCCATGACCCGACGAAGTCCCTCTCTTCAGCTTCAGCAACCCTGACGCCACCACGCGCCCCAGACCCGGCTGTGGCCTTCTGCCCCCTTCAACAATCGCCCCCCCAAAAAAACCGGAACATTCCTGAGAAAGATAGAAGCTTTCGGGGAGCCATATGCAAGTCCCAGTCCCAGTCCAGCCTCCCGGTCCTTCTCTGCCGAGGCCTGCACGAGGGTGCTTTATGCGCTAAACCGCAAAGCACACACACACACACACACTCACTTGTAAGCCCTCAAACCTAAACCTACACCCTACACCCTAAACGCTCAACCCCAAGCCTCCAGGAGCTCCAAAGAGCCGAGCTTAGTTGAAGTTGGAACAGTTGGGATGGACCCAGCGCGCGTCAGGGAATGGTATCGGGACTTGGCCTAGGGGACCCTTGAGCTCAAAGGGGGCATCTGGGGTGGGTGCTTATGACTATATAAGGGAGTATGCAGGGCGATGTTTGGTCAGCTGGGGTGTGGGGCGGGGAGAGGGGGTTCCGAGATTTCCAAGGTTCTTCGCCGTGGGGTTTGCGGGGAAGGTGGCGGAGCCCACATGAGAAGCTGGGGACTTAAGCGGGCTTTGGGACTTTCAGGCTTGTGGGGCCTTGGGCTTAACAGCTTCGGGCTTTCTCAAGGTTCGGCTTTGGCGGGGAAACAGCTCTCCGCCTTGGCATCCGCGACCTTCTTCCTCAGCGCGTCCATGCCTGCATTTTCCTCCGCCGGGGTCGCACGTTGAGCTACGGAGGGGTTCGGGCTTGGGGTTTCAGGTTCAGGACTCAGGGGCCAACCCCTCAACCCCAAACACTAAACTCGAACCTGAGGCCGCCCAACAACTTCGCCCACTTCCCGCAGCGCGGATGCAAGCCTGAGAACCCACTGTTGCCAACCCGCCAGACCCGCTGAGGCATCGGGCCGTAGCAGCTTGGGGAGCAGTCTCGGCCGCCAGCGCTTTTTGGCGCTTGTAGGTTAGCCGAGTGAACGCCCCCAAAAACCTCTCAAAAGCCAGGCCTTGCCCACAAACACACACTGCAGAGCCGTGCAGCGCCTTGCCGCCTCACCGATGCTTCCGACAGCAACCCCAGGCCGAGGCGGGTCGCGTGGCAGTAACATCAAGCTTAACCCCAAACCTCCGTCGAACTCTCAGCCCTAAACCCTATCAGCAGTTTAGGGTTCCGGCTGTGGGGGTTAGGATATATGGTGGGCAACTTCGAGGGTTTAAAGTCCCTAAACCCTATCACCCCAAAGCCCTGATCCCTGAACGGTAATTATGGATCTCTCTGTACTTTGTACATCGGACAACCCTAGAGAAAAAAACAAAAAAAAACAAGGACTATAAGCCCCATAAGCCCTGTAAAACTCTGTAAACCCTAAACCCTCTGAAACCCAAGGCAGTCCGTGTTGAGCTTGGATTTCACCTCCAGCCTCGGTTCACGTGCATCACAGGGATTCAGGAGGAGGTCTCCTGATAGGCACAGGGCACCTGATTCCCTGCTGCCCCAGCAGCCTGAAACTAAAAAACCGCCGCAAACCCCCTCCGAAACCACATTGCATCCCTACCAAGCCTCCAAGTGCTCCAAAGCCCCTCGAGCGCCGAACCCTCGAACCCGCTCTGTTGCGACGGAGGGGATTCGGCTCCAAGCCTTAGGGATTTCTCGGCCTTAGAGTCCTCTTGCCTCTGTCCAAGGCTCTGGCAAGCGATTTCGCACGGCAAGCAAAGGCCCTTGTTTGACGTTGGCGACCTGTCATTTCTCGGCGAAGAAAGCCCCATTCGGAGGGCTACATGCAGCAGTGGCTCCGGGGCTCAGGAGTGATGAGGAAGCACCTCGGCAGCCTTCTGCTCCATCTGCGTGGCAGTGAAGTTGCACTTGGACGCCACGGCCTTCGCGCAGGAGTTTAGGGCTTTGGAAACCCTGAACCCCAAGCTTCAAACACTAAACCCTACACCCCATAAGAGAGTACTTGTGGTGTCGGCTCAACTCTCCAAGTTTGGCATATTCGGTTCCAGGTCGCACTCAAAGCACCCATGCCTTCACGAAGGCCTCGAGGCTCCTGGCACGGACCACAGATTTCGTCTCGGCCGGTGAACCAAAAGAAAAGGGTTCAGGGATCAGGGATTTGGCTTCGAGTTAGGGGGTCAGGGATTTGGGCTCTAAATGCCCCTGAGCCCCAAAATGAAACCCCTCAGTACCCCTGAGCCACGCAGCCCGTAAACCCCCAACATACCCCTTCACCAACCTCGGCCCTGGCGCCGCAAACTCTGCCGGTCGGGCGCCAGCTGCCCAACAAACGGGGCGCCCGAATCCTTGAGCACGGGGGTCTTCTTCGCCGACTTCGCGGCGACCTCGGGGTCTTTTCTTCGAGGGTTAGGGGAGGTTGGGGGGGGGGGGTTTTAGTCAAGGGCTTCGAAATTTACTAGGTAATACGCGGTATATGCCTGCCTTTTGAGCCACCCCCAAAACTATGTTTAGCAAGAGATAAGAGAGAAAAAAAACTCAAACGGTTGACGGTTTACAGGATTTGGGGGGGGTTCGGACCGCCTCAGGCCATTCGGAAATTCGGTTTGGGCTCTGCCTTGTTGGGCTTGAAAGGTTCAGGGCCTTTTGGGGATCAGGGCTCGGCAGGGCTTCATAAGGCTTCCAGGGCCCACCACCCCCTCCACTTACTCCCCCACCACCCCACCCCACCCTCCCGCAACACCAAGCACGAAAAAAGCAGCACTGTTGATGATGGTGATGACGATGATGATGATGATGATGATGATGATGATGATGATGATGATGATGATGATGATGATGATGAAGCTCCACGGCCCGAGTCTGAGAGTGGGCAGTTAGGTTTTGAACCACCTGGCGCCATGGCATGCGTCGCCCGAGTGCGACAACACAGTCTGCAGATGGCGAAGACGCTGAGGTTTCCGGTGGCGCTGCTGATTCTCTGCGTGCTAGGAATGTCCTGCCTAGAGGGCCACCGCCGCCTCCCGCAGTACATGGAGACGGCATGCAGTTCCGTCGACGCGGCAAGCATGGTGAACCTCAGGCTAACGCTGTGGAATCAGATGCCGTTGCAAGTTTCCAGCACAGCAGTGACAGTGAGGATGCCTCCTCTCATGACAGCAGTGACACCAAAGGACCTAGTGTGGTCTGCTTGGAGTTGGTGGGACATGCGTTGGAGAGGGCAAGAGACCTTGCCCTGGGTCTGCAAAGATGGAAGCTCAATGCCACCCGCCCGGCGCCGAGCAGCAGGTCGGTTGCAGCCTTTCTGGGGTGGGCCAAGAGGAGTTTTCAGCAGTGGACAGTGTCCAGACTGCTCACTGATGTCCGGCTTCGAGATTGGCAGGATTGCGTGCGTAAGAAGGATCATGCGTGAAGAGATAAGTAGGTCGACTGCTCTGCTCACACCTGAGCGTGGCAATCTGGCGCTGTACCGACCGCGTAACCTGCGTGCAGCCTGCTTCCAAGGGCAGGCCAGGGTCAGCACATCATGTCCCCTTAAGCCTTGTAGACCCCGTCGTCTCTCCCGAAGTAGAACCCCGCCGCGTTGGCCTGACAGACCTGGCCCGGAGAGGCAAGCCGACTCCTGCTCCTCTCGGGACAAGGATTCGTCATCAGGCCATGCGCTCTGTCTTAGCCCCAAGGACTCCTGTAAACCTAACCTCCGTTCAAAACGAAGCCCCAGTGTTAGTCATGGCCGCAGCGGTCCCAAGTCCGCTGGCTGCAGGATGCTACAGCTTTGCCTTATACAACTCCCATCTGCAGCTGGAGCGAGGGTTCCATCTACTACCGTGGTAGGTGGGGGACTCCGTTCATCCGAACGGGGGAAGCAGCACGGTGTCGCGCCAAGAGAAAGCCACAACCCCGGGTCCCTAATTCCCAAAGCCACCAAGCGTGCGTTTCGCCGCGCAAGGAACCGCGCCGCTGCCTCCCTGGAAGGCGGCACGTTCTACAAAGGCCGCTGGCACACTCGAGCCTCACTTCAAGCCCTAGTTAACTCTGAGCCCCTTGCCATCCTCACATCTAGGCCCAGACAACAGATAGCTCGACCCCATAAATCCATGGATGTCCGCTCTCTTTGCTGGAATGTTGGAGGATTGTCGGGGTCTTGCTTTCAGGAGCTCGTTGCATGGCTCGATGTTGAGGGCGGTTGCTATGATGTTATCATTCTGCAAGAGACGCACTGGCGAGCCAGTAGCGACTTCCGAAGTGGACAGTGGATGTGCGTTCACAGCTCTGGGTATGACTCTGAGCTCAGTCTTGATCGATATGGAGGGATACTCATCATGATTAATCAGGATGCCTTTCAAGAGCCCGCAGCTCATGAAATCTATCCGGGTAGACTGCTGCACGTCCGTGCTCTCCATCGCCGGAGCCGCCTTAATGTTGACATCATAGGAATCTACCAGCATGTTTATAGGCCTCAACTCACCCCAGACCTCAATCAGCAGTATCGTAGCGATGTCTGGACTAAGCTCTCGACCGCACTGCAAGCGTTGCCGAGCAGAAATCCTCTGCTGCTTGGAGGTGACTTCAACTCCCAGCTTGCTGCGCGCCGGCCACATGTCGGCTGCTCTCTGCTGTCGGGTGACGGACAGCAAGGCGACAAGCAACTGCATAAACTGCTTGAGAAGTGTGATCTTTGTGTCCTAAACAGTTGGCATGCCAAGCCAGGCCACACGTATGAGTCCACTACCAGCCGAACCCGCATTGATTTTGTCGTGACCAAGCTATCGGATGCAAAGGGCCCAGCCCGGTATGCAAAGCCAAAGTACAATTTCCCCATCAAAGCATACAGCTTGGCTGGCCACTGGCCCATTGAGGCCACCATTGCCGTTGTGCCTTTTAACCGCCGGCCGCCTGCCAAACCAGCTGATTGTGTCACCTTTCAGAGAGACGAACTTCTTGTGCACACGCGCACCAACAGTGAGCGAGCCCAGGCCTTGCAACAAGACGTGGCAAGCCGCCTTGCTCAGGTCCAGCCCTCGAGCCTTCAGGATGCCCGTGCCATCGTGAACCAAGTCCTGCTTGAAACTGCAGCTGTGCACTTCCCGCCAGAAATAAGACCTGATAGCAGAATCAGCGCGCAGGATTCCTTCCGGGCCTCTGCCAAAACCACTTGGCAATTCTACAGAGCACTCAAGGCGCCCTGCATTGCAGTCACGCATGGCATCTTTCTTAAGTGGAAGGCAGCCAGTGACTTTTCCAAGGCCTCCAGGCGTCTACGGGATCAAAGCCGGCTGCTCAAACGTGAGTCGCTGCTACGCAAGCTTGCCGAAGCAGAACAAGCAGCCGCCAAGGGAGACCAGCGTGTGCTCCACCAAATTGTGCGAGGCTTGGCTCCGCGATGCCAGAAGCTTGTGTCCAGACTGCGTGACCCACAAGGTCAACTTCTGGGCAAAGACGCGGCTCTGCAAGCCATGCTCAACTATGCCAAGGACACTTTCTGCATACTGCCGGATGAGCCAGACATCCCTGCCATGCAGGACAGCTGGCAATGCACTGACCAGGATGTGCAACGAGAGCTACAGAAGCTCGGCGTGTTCAAGGCAGTTCCGGCTGGTATTGCGCCAGCCGCTCTGTGGCGATGCTGTGCAGGAGCCATCGCGCCGGTGCTGGGGAACTCCCTCCGACACCACTTCCAGGCTGGCAGTACACAGTGTCTGCAGGATGAGCTACATGATGCTTATATCACCCTAGTCCCCAAACCACAAAAGCCAGCAATCGCTGTCGAGAACTTAAGACCGATAGGGTTGCAATGTCCCAGCGCTAAGCTCATAGCCGGGTTGCTGCGACAATCCTTGCTTGAAGTGCTGCTCCCTCTGATCACAAACCTTCCTCAATACGCGTACGCAAAGCATCGGGGGACTTTCGACGCTCTCCTCCGGGTACATCTACACTTTGAGGACGCTAGTGTTCTTCTTCGCACCAATCGTGTTAACCGATTCCAGCAGCATTCTGGACGCAAACAACATGCGTGCGTTGGGGGGTTAAGTCTGTCGCTGGACCTGTCTCGGGCCTATGACCTCACCAGCAGGCCCATTGTGTACGGAACATTGGCGCAGCATGGAGTGACACAAGACACAATCACAATCATTAAGCAGCTTCATCGGGATGCCCAATACATCTTTCGTTCAGGGGATACCACGGGGGGACAGCCCACCACGAATGGGCTGAAACAGGGATGTTGCATCGCTCCCTTTCTCTGGTCCTTTTACACGATTGCGCTGATGCACGCGTTACAGGACAAGCTTGGTCCACAGTGGCTCCAGAAAACCCTTGTCTTGTTCGCCGACGATCACTGGTGTCATTGGCTTGTCAAGAACAAGAAGGATTGGGACGATGCCATAAATGAGCTTGTTGTTGTGCTTGAGACCCTTACCACCTTCAAAATGTCCATAAACTATCGGAAAACTGCCATACTGGTAAGACTTGAAGGCAAACAAGCTAAGGCGATCTTGCATGAACACACTCGCCTCAAGAATGGTGTCAGGCATCTTGTCATCACTGTTCACGGCGAGGAACAGCTCATCCCCGTCAAAGATGAACATGAATATTTAGGCACCAAAGTCACTTACCAGCACCGACTTGACAAAAATCTTGCGCATCGTGTACAGGCTGGCCAGGCCAAGTACATTGCCCTGCGCAAGCCCTTGAATGGTAAACACCATTTAACAATTCATCACCGGACTCGGCTTTGGTTGGCGTGTGTGTCCACTAGTATGCTTTACTCGCTGTCAGCAGTGGGCATTACCAAGCACGGCCTTGAGCGCCTCACTAAAGCCTGCACTAAGCACTTGAGAGCCATTCAAAAGCAGCCAGCGCACGTCACACGCATTCCCAATCGCGACATTTGGACCCAGGCGGGCCTTGACATGCCTGGCAGCCTGCTGTTGACGGCGCTTCAGCGCTTTCAGCAGAATCTGCTGATCAAGGCCGTTGCTTCCCCTGACATCACCACGCAGGAGTGCATTTTGGCGCATGTGCAGCAACTTGTTGCCTCCTTACAGGCTCTGATTGCGCAGCAAGCGGAGCATGATGATGCCCCGCCTGAGCCTGAAACTCCGCAGATACCATGCCCAGAGTGTGATGCCATGTTCGTCACTGAGAATGCCATGAGAATCCACTGTCAGGTGGCCCACAAGCTTCTGCCACCACGTGCTGCCAGCACACCTGTCAAGTTTGTGCCCCGGATTCACGCGTGCGGCGGCCTTCCTCGCTGCCAGCTTTGCCTGAGGTCCTTCTACCGATGGCAAAACCTTCGGGTGCATATAGAAAGCGGTGCTTGTGAGAAGCTCGGAGGAGAAAGCCTGAGCAAACATCCCATATCTGCCACTGATGCCCAGGTCGCGGACAATCAGCTGCCTGTGCCGGCTGTAGCCCCGGATGACGCAGCGACTGGCACGCAACAAAACGTGCCTTTGATTGATCGTGCCCTTTTTCGCAACAGACAGCATGATTGGGAGAGTCTTCTCAGAGAGCCTCAACTGCGCATTGACCTGCAGACTCATTGCAGCCTGTGTCACATGTGGGTAGCTAGCTTCACTCACATAAAACAGCACATTGTTAAGATTCATGAAGGTGAGACACCAGGTCTACATGCTAGAGCGTTAACTTTGTGCCACAGCTTCAAAAGCCAACTGGTTCGAAACCGGACCTGTCCCTGGTGCAAGAGAAATGTGGGAGCCCCAGGGCGTCACTCCCAACAATGTGTTGTGCTTTACCAACTGTGCATAGCACGAATCCGCTACCAATGGTCCCAGGACCGATGCAGCGGGACTGAATCCGGAGGCGGACATCTTCGCCTTTTGCGATCCTTCACTGCTGCAGCGAGCCGCAGCGGAGACCTTGCAGGAAGAACTGTCGGAGCCCTCGGAGATGAGTCAACCCCCCAAACGCCCTCGACCCGAGCCCAGTCCACTGTTTGGTCAGCGTGGCAAGCAGCAGCCTCATCGCCAGGCGCCATTTGCTCCGAGGGGCCCCCGTTGGCCGAAACAGCAGCCACCAATGGACCCGCAGAGTCGAGCAATGGCCAAGCTCATGCTGCAGCACGAGGAGATGCTTGCAGCCCAACGGGTGGACAAAGTGTTCATCATGTTTATGAGGCAGGACTATGCCAGCATCATCCCGAACCTGCATTCCATCTCCGAGCAATGGCACAAGCGGCGCCAGGACAACAGCTCCACATCGGAGCTTCAATCCCCGCTGAGAACATTGCTGATGGCGTGCTTGATCAAGGAGATCCTGGCCAGGATTCAGAAAATGGCCTCCACCAGCGAAGGCCAGGGCAAGTTGAAGGCAGCAGGATGGATGAACGAGACGGGGGGCTGGACATTCCTGCGCTACTGTCACCGAAGCAAGAAAATGGTCCTAGATGCAAGCCGCGAAAGCATGAGTCATCAAGAAATTGTGCGCCAATACACATTTCTGTTGGAGCACATGAAGGGAGAGATAGTGCAGAAGTTCAACAGTACGCAGTCACTGAAAAGCCTGGAAGCGAACGCGAGCTCCAAACCCCCAGCCACTTTCGTCCTCGAAATTTCCCTACGGGGAGAGAAAGCCAACGAGATGCACGAGACAATGTGCACGTTGATTGGAAGCTCGGCCTGGCAGCTTGTGGGCATCTCCCTGAAACGGGGAACACTCAAGAAGTCTCCCCTAGCGGAGCAGTTGGCTCAGTGGGTGTACGGCCACTGACAAGTGTGGCTCATGCTGCAACAGTGCGTCCGCGCCCCAATGTGTGCAGCCTTCCAAACTTCAGCTTGCATAATCCTGGCAACCATTGCTATGCCATTGCATTTCTCTATGCCCTAGATGCAGCTGTGCAGTTTGTTGGCCTTCATGCCCAAATGCCAAATGTGTTTCAGCGACTACAAGGTCAGCAAAGGGGCAGAGCCTTCGGGCTCCTGGGGTTCACAACTTTGGGGTGGCAAGCGCCTGAGCGCCAGCATGACACATGCGAGTTCATTGACTTCGTTCACTCGAGACTCCTGCCAAGGTCTCTCCAAGGGGTATGGCAGGGACGCAGACAGGTGCCAGAACAGCCCATTGCCTGCACAGAGCCTTCCCCCCTCTCCAAATGCATAGGGTTGTTAGCGCCCCCAAAGCATAGCCCCAACATCCAAGATCTTGTAAACCACTGGTCGGCCCAGGAACATAGACAGGCGATGGTGCAACCAATGCCTTGGCTTTTCCTGCAACTTCCACGCTTTCACAGCAGGAAAGGCAGGATACGCAAAACAGCACAGTGGTATGACATTCCCCGCGAGTTGGAAGTGCCGCTTTTCCTTGCAGATCAGGCAATAGGCGTAAGGTGGCTACCCTACAAAACAGTAGCTGTCATTCGTCATCATGGCAATGTACCTTCAGCAGGTCACTACACTGTAGCGCTGCCGAGTGAAGAAGGCTTCACAGCACTTGATGATGCACAGCCGCCAAAAGTCCTTGATTCGGAAAGTGTTCTGCAGATTAGCCGGGATATGTATGTTCTTGTCATTGCCCGTGTGTGTGAAAGCACCGACTTTTCACATGATCGTGCAAGTGCATTGGGCCCAGCCACGACCACTGGAGTAGAGGCCTCACCGCCAGGGTCCAGCAGTGCTCCAAGTGCTCATGGCTCGAGTTTGGCTGAGATACATAGATATGCGCGAAGAGGCATAGGTGGCGAGCCACATGAATCTCCAGAAGATCCTCTTGCGTCAGCTCATGCAGGACCTCCGCATCTTGCAGCAGAGACACGGCACCTTGTGATACCAGATCAAGCGACTGATCTGCGACCAGAAAGCGTACTACTACCGTCAGAGCCAGAAGTCAGCTCGCAACCAGTACGCTCGGGTCCTGCCTCGCATCATCAATCTGGAAACCGTGGACTGATTCACGGACAAGCCAATTCTGTCACTGCGCAGGATATAAGGAGGTTCTTCGCAAGGGCAGCGAGCCCTTAGCAGATGCAAGCCTGGGAGATGACTGAACGATGAGTTTTTATTTGAGTACAAACAGGGACCCCGCTTCAATAGCAAGCGGCTTTTCTCTAAGAGCATACGTGCTAAGCCGTGAAATCGGCCGGTGTGCAAGGTGAACCACACTGTAGCGCACGCTAGCTGAGGGACGACTCTCACTGCGAAGGAAGAAGATGATGATGATGATGATGATGATGATGATGATGACGATGGAACTATAGCAGTGATGAGGAGGAGCAGCATCATCATCATCATCATCACCACCACCACCACCACAATCATCACATCACCATCACTATCGAGGTTTGAAGGTGGAAGGCGCCAGCTCTGAACCCTGCCAAAGTCATCCAACAATACCTCAACACTCCAAAACCTACACCCAATCCTAACTCCCCAAACCCTAAACACCCTAAATCCCTAAACCCCAAACCACACACACACACAAATCCCCTCTTGCCCCAGCCAGCGGCCCAGTATGTGGAGCCATCACGGAGGAGCCGGCAACGCAGCCGCTCCTCGCCACCTCCAGGAGGACCCAGGGCGAAACCCAACCTGAAAATGGCCCCCAAAGCCCCACCCACTCTCCCCAAACCCTGTCGTTCCACTCCGAAACCTCTAAGTTTGGGGTTGTTTGGTCAAGCTACTGAGAAAAGGAGAGGGGAGGAGGTTCGGATTGAGGGGCTTTCAGAGGGCTTCAGAGCGCTCGAGGCCTCCAAGAAGCTAGCTTAGCAGGAGAGGTTTTATGGTTTAGGGCTCAGTGTCCCTAAGCCTTAAACACCCCCCCCAAACCTGAGTCCCAGGCTGCCCTGAACCCGGGCCTCCAAGCCCCGAACCACAGGGTTGAGGGGCTCGGACCCAGGCGCCGAAACCATGAAACCCGACAAAAAAACCCTCAACCCTCACCCTTGAAGTACTGGGTTTTGGTTTCGGGTCGAAGCCGTCTGCCTTTCAACTTTGAACCCCTTTTGTTCCGAGGTGCACCTTCCAGGACGTCCACCGCCTCGCCAGCGTAGAGACATCCTCGTTCCTCGCCGCCTGCCGAGGTCGGGGTTTGCAGGGTTTAGGGTTTAGGGTTTTGGGCTTTCGGTTTTGGGCTTTGGGGGGGGGGGGGGGGGGGCGCGTCACTCAAAGATCCCTGGAAGGTTCCTTCGGCGGCATCGAAGAAGGGGGTGGTCACGGTGCAGATGCGGCGGGGCCGAAGGAGCTCCTTTCCGAACTCCCGCTGGCGAGACGATACAGTTTGGTGGAGATCATGTTTCGTGTCACCGGTGTGCTGAAACTGTTCGAAAGAGCCTTTTCGGGGACTCGCCATATAGCGCTTAGTGCCGCTATGGGAGTTTGGGTTGAGGAAATTTCGGTTTGAGGTTGTAAGGCTTAGGGTTTTGGGTTCAGGGTTGACCTCAAAAGCCTAGCCCCCCGTGTGGAACAAGCAGCTAATGGCCCCTCAAAGTAAGGAACTGTGGCCCACAGCATCTTTAACGTGGTCCACTGGCTTCTGAGCCCACAGGCCCTCAACCCTTAAACCAGTACCCTGCACCCTACCACCCTAAACCCTAAACCCTAAACCCTAAACCCTAAACCCGAGGCTCCTCAAAATCCGACTTCTGGAGGGTGTTCTTGGAGGCCACGCGCGGGAAGAGCTGCGCCGCTTGGTCCTGACTTCAGGGCTTAGGGTCTTCAGGATTGTAGAATTGTTTGGGGTCTCTAGGTTTGAAGAGTCTCAGGGTGGAAGAGCCTCAGGGTTGAGGGCCTCGGGGTGTTTTATTATTCTTACTACTATTCTTCTTACCATTATCAGAATTATTGTTAATGTTCTTATTAGTATTCGTATTTCTATTGTGAACCCCCAACCGGTCTGGGACACCGGCGGCTGACAAGCAGGCCGTCTCGCTGCCCATCTTTTCGGAGACCCTGGAGGCGGACAAGTTCCCCGAAACCCTAAACCTTAAACCCTAAACCCTGAACCCTAAACCCTAAACCCTAAGGGATGATGGGCTGAGGCGGTCTAGGAGGCCTTTCTGGAGCCTCGGCCCGAGACCTTGTGGGATGTTCTCCCTTGTGCTAACAGTCCTGGTCCTTAATCGGGATTAGAATAAGGGGTACTATAATCCCTGTTACGGACTGTTTGCCAAGCCAAGCTTTTGGGGTTCCAGGGTCGCCTTCCAAGTTGGGACCGGGTTGTTTTGCTCGGCTGCCCACGCAGCTGTTCTGGGTTTCGGGAACCTCGGGATTCTGGATGGAGGGTTCATGGGAAGCCTGGTGGAAAGTGCCCCCCAGACTTGCGGGGTCCGAATAAATGCGGCTCTCGTCACCAATGCGGAAGCCCCCCAACATACCCAATCGTACCCGCTGAAGGCTTCGTGGTTACCACCGAACATCTCACTCCTTTCAGGGCTTAGGGCTTGCCATGACTTGTTTCCTCAAGCAGACGGCAGAAGCAGCGAGGAACAAAAAGACACAGATCATGCGGAAAAAAAAAAACATAACAAAAAAACAAAAGGACCACGGAGCCAACCAATAAAAAAGACACAGATAACGCAGCAAAAAACAACATAACAAACAAGATCACGCGTTTAAGGAAAACCGTCGAAAACGTCCAGTTCCCCAACCTCTACTGGCAGTTAGGTAACCTTAAACTTAGGCCCTTACAATCTTCACCTCGTAAGCTCTCGAACACCTGAACTCTAAACCCTACGCCCTTCCCCTCTTGGGCCCGGACTGCTCCAGCCAGGTCCCGAACTGCTCCTTGGAAACCGGCTGCCCTGGAGGCGGAGGCAGGGTTCAGGAGGGCTTCAGGGGCTTCGGGGGACTCCACCACCCTGAACTTTAGAGTGTAGGGTTTAGGGTTTCGGGTGCGGAGCTGCAGGTTGTATTCAGGAATTGAATGGAAGGTTAAAGAAAAGGGTCAATGTGCCCGGTGGTCCTTGGCTCAAGGATGGCCTGGACCCATCCACTAGCAGTTGAAAAGGTAGAGCGCCTGGGGTTGGGGTTTGGAAGTAGGAGTCCTTCCCTTTCCCTCTTGGTGTTTCGGTATCGTAGCCCTGGGGGTTTGTCTGTTTTCTGGTTCTTTCTGGGGAATCCATATTGGCGACTGTTGAGGGTTGAGACCTTTCCTTTTCCCCTTTCGGTTGCCCCCGTAGGTTATGAGCCCAAGTTAGGTTCCCTGCGGTTCGTGTTTAGGCTTAAGGGTGGTAATCCTAAGCCTTCGAAGCAATGGCTTCCAACTGGCTGCAGACTGGATCTATGTCATCGAACCCCAATGTGGGCGATCAAGGAGGAATGGGTGACAAGAGGTCTGCGACTGGTCAAAAAATGATTCCCAATGCGGAAGCTCTGGTTGATGCTGGTGGTATGCGTGGCGAAGAGAAGTCGGTGGTAGAAAAGGTGGAAGACGAGATGGAAGTGGTTTTGCTGCGTCTTCTGCGCAAACATGGACTTGATCTTCGTGCCATGGAACCTGCTGGGTCAACGGGAGTATTGGAGGCAAGTTCCTCTACATCAAAGTTGGTGGAACAAGGAAGCCAGACGGATCTGGTTGGGGATGTTATTCCTGTGTTCAAGCGAGCTCGAAACAAAGTGAGCGGCGCGACTGGAAGTGGTGATCTGTTGACAGGAGAAGCGGAAGAAACTGCACCTGTTGCTGCAACAAAAGGCAGTATCCTCTTCACTGGGGACGCAGAAGGAATAGAGCCTATTACTGGGGTGATGAGTGAGGAAGAAATCCTGGAGTTGGAAGCGGCGAGGATACGGCAGGAGTCGGAGGAGGACTTATATGCTGTTGATGAGGGCAAAACGCCTCAAGCTGCTGACACTTCGATCATTGCCAGTGATGGGACGATGTGGGAGCGCCATTTTCATGAGGATGGAAGAGAGTATTTTTACTGCTTGAACACTGAAAATACCCAGTGGGTGTTTCCTGGAAAGACTGAAAAGGGTGGAAACAATGAGGCATCTGGTGTTGGAATGGGCATTGTCCCTGTGGAAGAAGAGCCAGCACTGGGTACAACATCGTCCTCATCGCCTACTGAATCTTTCAGGGCACAACAGGGTAGCTTAGGAAGTGTAGATAGCGGTGTAAATAGTGTACAAAAGGAATTTTCCTCTACTATTGGGGATAGCGGTTTTAAGGGTGGCGGCGACGCCCAAACCTCGGGTTCCCCTGACGAGGAAGGAATTTCTGGAGTCCAAATAGACATGGCTGGAGAACACCTGGATCGGGAAGAAATCAAAGCACTTTCTGAGGGTGACGCAGCGGTGAAATCTATGGATGGGGAGGATAAAATTCTTAATGTGAGGGTGAATACTGTGTCGGCTACAGAGGAGCCAGTGGCGGATGAGGTATCTGGCATTCAGGAGGTTGGTCCTGAAGATGAGGATGATGGAGGAAAAAGGTTGTGTATTACGACTGAGGAGGTTTCTCCGTCTGGTGCCATGGATTCCGCCATTCAAGGGAAAAATGAGCTTCTGGAATAGCTGGAGACGCGGTTGATTTGCCGGAAAAGAAGGATGAGGCCTGGAGCGCCAATGAGGTGCGGGCAAATGTGCCGGATGAAACCTGGAGTGCAGAAAAAGCACGGGGCGAGGCACGAGATGGTACATGCTCCGCAGTTGACTGCAACAATGGGGCGCAGGTCACTGTAGTAGCTGACGATGGAGGTGCATCGGCGGACGCGCTTGTGCATTCTGAAGTTGGTGGCGTGGAGCAAGGTCTTTTGAGCCGCGCCGGAGCCAATGTGGCAGCTGTGGCTGATGGTGGTGATGATTCTCCTTTGGTAACCATGGAACCAAAGGATCCTGCGGTGGAAGAAAATATGCCTGCCGTGGATGACCAATCAAAGAACCCTGCGGCGGAAGAAAACTTGCCTGCTGCAGATGATTTGACAAAGGACTCCAACGGTGGGTCCACTTCCAAAA